CCCTTTCCACTGGTTGATTGTCCTCACTGTTAGGAAGTTTCTCCTTAGTTCCAGGTTGCTTCTCTCCTTGATTAGTTTCCATCCGTTGCTTCTCATCCTGCCTTCAGGCGCTTTGGAGAATAGCTTGACTCCCTCTTCTTTGGGGGAGCCCCTCAAATATTGGAACGCTGCTTTCATATCACCCCTAGCCCTTCTTTTCATTAAACCAGACACGTCCAATTCCAGCAACCGTTCTTGGTATGTTTTAGCCTCCAGTCCCTTAATCATCTTTGCTGTGAAGACAATGTCTGGTGGCAATGGTCAGATGGCAGATAAATTCGAGATAGTTAATAAATAGAAGAGGAGGAGGAGGAGGAAGAGGAGGAGGAGGAGGAGGACTGTGCAGTCCTTGGTACTCTCTGCACTTGGTGGTTTTCTTGCAAATATTTCATGACCAAACTAGGGAACATCATCAGTGTTTGAAGGCAGTGGGGGTTTCTGACGAGGAAGGAGGAGGAGGAGGAGGAGGAGGAGGAGGAGGAGGAGGAAGAAGAAGAAGAAGATTGTGAGCTCCATAGTGCTCTCTGAGTTTGGTGGCTTTCTTGCAGACGTTTCGTGACCCAACTAGGGAACATCACTAGTGCTAGTAGGGAGTGGGATTTGCAAGGAAGAGGAGAAGTAGCAGTTGGAGGAGGAGGAGGGCGGGAGAAAAGGACTGTGGGGTCCTTGATGCTCTCTGAGCTTGGTGGTTTTCTTGTAGACGTTTCATGACCCAACTAGGTAACATCATCAGTGCTCGAAGAGAATGGGGCTTACTCCCGGTGTATATAACTAGTGGCTTGCCCTGTCAGTGCTGGTGGGGGTAAGCAAATGGCGTTAAATCCAGAATTATCTGTAAGTACTGATGTTGGTTACAGCATTGGAAATACACAAAGATCAGAAGTCCAGGGTGATTTTGTTTCTGTCTTAAGACCTGCTGGAAAATCTTGGCTCCTGGATGAACGGGGTAGGCTCTACTACGCCTTTACAAAGAACCTCAGCCGGAGACTCAGGATTTGGCTACCGTTTCGCCCAAGAGGGAACTGTTTTGTTTTTTTCCTCTTGGTCATTGTGTTAAAAGAATTAGATTATGATCTTCTTTAATGTTTTGCTGGCCTTCAGGCTGCCATTTGCATATGGCTAGATCTGACATTTTAAGATAGCATGGGGTTGCGTGCCATTTTTTGTGCCGCTTTGCCGATTTCCCCCACACACACACACTTGATACGAACGAGCGTTACGGGGGTCACCTCCAGGCAGAGAACCTTCCAGAACCATCCATTGCACAGATATGTTTGGAGGTGTTCCTGCTCTTTAAAATATCTCATGCCTTCCTTGTGGACCGGCTGGTAGAAATAAACAAGGCTCTGTATATTTATTTATTATTAAGGTTTTTATCCCGTCTTTATTATTTTATAAGTAATTCAAGGTGGTGAACATCCAAAATACTCTTTGGCCTCTTATCATCCCCAGGACAACGACCCTGTGAGGTAAGTTGGGATGAGAGAGAAGGACTACCCCAAAGTCACCCAGCCGGCTTTCGTCCGAGGCAAGGACTAGAACTCACCGTCTCCTGGTTTGTAGGCCAAACTGCTCTCAAGCCCTGCATTCAAACTATTAGCCACTCTAGTCTTGCCCAAGACGAGACTAGAATTCACCGTCTCCTGGTGATTGGCCCAAAGTCACCCAGCTGTCTTTCATGGCCATGGCAGGACTAGAACTCACCGTCTCCTGGTGATTCCACCCAGCTGGCTTTCATGTCTAAGGTGTGGATTAGAATTCATAGTCTCCTGATGACTGGCCTAAAGTCACCCTGTCAGTTTTCAGTACTAGAACTCACCATCTCCGGGTGACTGGCCCAAAGTCATCCAGCTGGCTTTTATGCCTAAATCAGAACTAGAACTCACCATCTCCTGGTGATTGGTTCAAAATTACTTGGCTTTCATGCCTAAGGCGGGACTAGAATTCACCATCTCTTGGTGATTGGCCCAAAGTCACCCAGCTGTCTTTCATGGCCATGGCAGGACTAGAACTCACCGTCTCCTGGTGATTCCACCCAGCTGGCTTTCATGTCTAAGGTGTGACTAGAATTCATAGTCTCCTGATGACTGGCCTAAAGTCACCCTGTCAGTTTTCATGCCTAAGTCAGAACTAGAACTCACCATCTCCTGGTGATTGGCCCAAAGTCACCCAGCTGTCTTTCATGGCCATGGCAGGACTAGAACTCACCGTCTCCTGGTGATTCCACCCAGCTGGCTTTCATGTCTAAGGTGTGACTAGAATTCATAATCTCCTGATGACTGGCCTAAAGTCACCCTGTCAGTTTTCATGCTGAAGGCAGTACTAGAACTCACCATCTCCGGGTGACTGGTCCAAAGTCATCCAGCCGGCTTTCATGCCTAAGTCAGAACTAGAACTCACCATCTCCTGGTGATTGGTTCAAAATTACTTGGCTTTCATGCCTAAGGCGGGACTAGAATTCACCGTCTCCTGGTGATTGGCCCAAAGTCACCCAGCTGTCTTTCATGGCCATGGCAGGACTAGAACTCACCGTCTCCTGGTGATTCCACCCAGCTGGCTTTCATGTCTAAGGTGTGACTAGAATTCATAGTCTCCTGATGACTGGCCTAAAGTGACCCTGTCAGTTTTCAGTACTAGAACTCACCATCTCCGGGTGACTGGCCCAAAGTCATCCAGCCGGCTTTTATGCCTAAGTCAGAACTAGAACTCACCATCTCCTGGTGATTGGTTCAAAATTACTTGGCTTTCATGCCTAAGGCGGGACTAGAACTCGCCGTCTCCTGGTGATCAGCCCAAAGTCGCCCAGCCAGTTTTCAGGCCTAAGGCAGGACTAGAACTCACCGTCTCCTGGTGATCAGCCCAAAGTCGCCCAGCCAGTTTTCAGGCCTAAGGCAGGACTAGAACTCTCCTGGTTTCTAGCCCAGCACCTTAACCACTAGGCTGAACCTCATGTCCTGCAATTCATACGATCATCTTCACAGGATCCCTGTGAAAAGCGCGACAGTCTGAAACCCGCCTTTTATAAGCTGACGCAGAAAGTGAATTCTTGAGTGGGAACTGACTGAAAAATTCCAGGCATATTTGCCCTTATTAAGTGGAGCTGCTTTGCAACAATGCCACAATTAGCTCTATTAATCTCACACTCCCAACTTGAAATCACGCTGACACGCAACAGCTTCGCTTTTACGCATCGAACGGAATGATAAATTTAGCCGTTCAACCTTATTTAATTTCTCTCTCTCTTTTTTTTTTTTTTTACAGGCAATTAAGCAAGCTCAATCTTTTTAGGTGCTACGGCTGGCGACCCTGCCATCCATCCCCACGTTCAATTAAACCCAGACACGAGACTTGTCAGAAGAGTTATCAACGGAGGGGGCGCTTTTCTTTAATCCCCCCCCCAAAGCGATTTACACAGCAAGCTGCACTCACAAGAAAAATCGGCTTCATTTAAATCAGCGTTTCTCAACCTTGACAATTTTAAGGCATGTGGACTTCAACTCCCAGAATTCCACAGCCAGCAATGCTGGCTGTGGAATTCTGGGAATTGAAGTCCACATGCCTTAAAATTGTCAAGGTTGAGAAACACTGATTTAAATGCATAAGAAGGCTGAAATCCGACAGGACAACTTTAAAAACATTCGTTTTTCGGCAGGAAAGCCTTAAAAAAAAAAAAAAAAAGCAAGATGGCGTTTAATTTCACTCCAATCATCGGAAGCCCTTTTCCCGATGGACGTTTTCTGAGGACGTCAGAAAAAAATCACATCCTCCATTTCGTCTTCAATTAACCGTATCGTAATACAAGGGAGTCCTCGGCTTACGGCTAAAAATGGAGCCTGATGTTTGTGTTGCTAAGCAAGACAAGTTGTTAGGCGTGCTTTGGCCCGTTTTACGACCTTCCCTGCCACAGTCCTTAAGTGAATCACTGCAGTCGTTAAAGTAGTAACTCGGTTGTTAAGTGAATTCGGCTTCTCCCCCCATGGACTTTGCTTGTCAGAAGGTCAAAAAAGGGGATCGTGTGATCCCCGGGACGCTGCGACCGTCGGAAATGTGAGTCAGTTGCCAAGCGGCTGAATTTTGATCACGTGACCCTGGAGGGATGATGCGACGGTCATAAGTGTGAAAAACGGTCCTAAGTCACTTTTTTCAGTCACTAGGCCAGGGGTAGGCAACCTTGGCTCTTTGATGACTGGTGGACTTCAACTCCCAGAATTCCTGAGCCAGCCATGCTGAGGGGAAAGGGAGAGGTTTCCAAGCTGAGCCATGCTGGCTCAGGAATTCTGGGAGTTGAAGTCCACGAGTCATCAAAGAGCCAAGGTTGCCTACCCCTGGTCTAGGAGGCTCACCGCTTAGAACAGGAGGATTTAGGACAGGGGTAGGCAACCTTGGCCTGTTCATGACTTGTGGACTTCAACTCCCAGAATTCCTGAATCAGCATGGAAACCTCTCCCTTTCTCCTCAGCATGGCTGGCTCAGGAATTCTGGGAGTTGAAGTCCACGAGTCATAACAGAGCCAAGGTTGCCTAACCCTGGTCTAGGAGGCTCACCACTTAGACCAGAAGGACTTAGGACAGGGATAGGCAACCTTGGCCCTTTTATGACTCGTGGACTTCAACTCCCAGAATTCCTAAGCCAGCATGGCTCAGCTTGGAAACCTCTCCCTTTCCCCTCAGCGTGGCTGGCTCAGGAATTCTGGGAGTTGAAGTCCACAAGTCATAAAAGAGCCAAGGTTGCCTACCCCTGGTCTAGTGAGTGAAAAAAGTGACTTAGGACCGTTTTTCATACTTATGACTGTCGCAGCATGTGTACCTTTTAGAGATATTTTGGTCCAAACGCTTTCTTGGGGGGAAAAAAAAATCACATTGGCAACCTGTATGACAATTCCATGGCACAGGATGATGGGTATGGTGTTTTTATGGGCAAGCAATGGATAAAGATTTTTTTTTTTTTAAAAAAGGTCTTACTTGAATCGGGATTTGACTTCTTCTACAGCTTTCTCGTATTGTTCGGTGGTGACTTTGTAGAACTGTGAGCTCTGTGGGAAGAGGAGGAGAAAAAGGGAATAAATTAAGTATAAATGCCCCCCCCAAAAAAAGCAAATGAGAAATGGTAGTATTTAAGGAGTGGGTGTTTATCTTTCTTACAGTCCCCAAAGAGGAATTTGTGCGTAACAATGCTTGAAACTTTCAAGCCAGGCCACAAGCAGGACGAAACAACGTATAGAAGATGCTTTTCTAATTATTATTATTATTTTGTATTTATTAGATTTTGATCCCAACTTAATTACTTTAGAAGTAACTCAAGGCAGCAAACGTACCTAATAGTCCGTCTTCCTCCTATTTTCCCCATAAAAACCCTGTAAAAGGGATGGGGCTGAGAGGGGGAGTGGCCCAAAGTCACCCAGCCGACTTTCAGACCCTAGAACTCACAGACTCCTGGTTTCTAGGCTAGCATCTTAATCACTACCCCCAAATGGTCCAAAGTCACCCAGCCGGCTTTTGTGCCTAAGACAGGACTAGAACTCACCACCTCATGGCGATTGGCCCAAAGTCACCCAGCCAGCTTTCATGCCTAAGGTAGAACTAGAACTCACAGACTCCTGGTGATTGGCCCAAAGTCACCCAGATGGCTATCGTGCCTAAGGCAGGACTAAAACTCACAGGCTCCTGGTGATTGGCCCAAAGTCACCCAGCCAGCTTTCGTGCCTAAGACAGGACTAGAACTCACCACCTCCTGGCGATTGGCCCAAAGTCACCCAGCCAGCTTTCATGCCTAAGGCAGAACTAGAACTCACAGACTCCTGGTTTCTAGGCTCGCACCTTAATCATTACCCCCAAACTGTCCAAAGTCACCCAGCTGGCTTTCGTGCCTAACTCAGGACTAGAATTCACTACCTCCTGGCAATTGGCCCAAAGTTACGCAGCTGGCTTTGGTGCCCAAGTCAGAACTAAAACTCACTGCCTCCTGGTCATTGGTCCAAAGTCACCCAGCTGGCTTTCATGCCTAAGACAGGACTAGAACTCACAGACTCCTGGTGATTGGCCCAAAGTCACCCAGATGGCTATCGTGCCTAAGACAGGACTAGAACTCACCGCCTCCTGGTGATTGGCCCAAAGTCACCCAGATGCCTATCGTGCCTAAGACAGGACTACAACTCACAGACTTCTGGTTTCTAGGCTAGTACCTTAATCACGACCCCAAATTGTCTTTTTAATTAATTCAAACGACCGGACCGGGAAAAGCACACAATCTACCTTCTTTCCAATTCAGCTGCACATTTACCCCCTCCCCGCTTTAGCTTGGATTTCCTCTTGGTACCTTTTTCATTGGGGGCCCTCTCCCTTTTGCCTGGTTTCCTCTTCTCGCTGGCTTTTCCATCATCGGCCCCAGGCCCCCCCTGTGGCCCTACCGGTCCGTGACCCTGAAGGACTGTGGATCTCCAGGTTTAGCTGAGTTTCCCAACTGAACTTCCATGACATCACAATGCCCCCAAGCCTTGGCAACTGCAAACACACCGAGAGCAGCAAGAGGCAACCTTGAGTCATGCTCATACAGTGCCCAAGTGACTTCTCTGTAAGTCAGCCAAGCCATTATTTTGGCTAAAAAGCAGCGTTTTGTGGCACTCCCGTATTTATTTTATTTATATCCTGCCTTTTTTCCCTTTCACAAATAACTCAAGAGGGCGAATGTCTCCAACACATCTTCTTCCTCCGATTTTCCTCACAACAACCCTGTGGGGTGACTTGGGCTAAGACAGAGGATGGCCCAAAGGTATCCAGTTGGCTTTTGTGCCTATGGCGGGACTAGAACTCGCCGTCTCCTGGTGATTGGCCCAAAGTCACCCAGCCGGCATTCATGCCTAAGGCGGGACTAGAACTCACACTCTCCTGGTGATTGGTCAAAGTCACCCAGACGGCTTTCATGCCTAAGGTAGGACTAGAACTCCCCGTCTCCTGGTGATCGGCTGAAAGTCACCCAGCCAGCATTCATGCCTAAGGTGGGACTAGAACTCACAGTCTCCTGGTGATTGGTCCAAAGTCAACCAGCTGACTTTCATGCCTAAGGCGGGACTTGAACTCACCATCTCCTGATTTCCAGCGTGCTGCTTTAACCATTAGATCAGGGCTAGGCAACCTTGGCTCTTTTATGACTCGTGGACTTCAACTCCCAGAATTCCTGAGCCAGCCATGCTGAGGGGAAAGAGAGAGGTTTCCATGCTGAGCCAGGCTGGCTCAGGAATTCTGGGAGTTGAAGTCCACGAGTCATCAAAGAGCCAAGGTTGCCTATCCCTGCACTAGATCAAGCGGGCTCTCTTGTATTATCTATTTATTAAATAGATTTACTGCATACGGCCACCGAAATGACAAGCTGTGACTCCAGGCAGCGTAGAGCATTAAAAGGAAATTTTGGGCTCACCAGCGGCCATTGAGATGAGGACTAAGTGTACTTTGAGCAAGGAATGAAGACCCCCTCGGTTTAATCTGCTTACGGGAAACCCTACCAGCAGTGCTTGCTGTGACATTGTAGGAATGTGGCTTGTTCGGTTGTGGACATAAATTGTACAGTTCGGTATTCTGACAAGGCTGTTTTGTCGGGGGAGCGGGCGTGATTTGTGGTGGATATTAAGACAGACCGGTTGATTTAAGGAGGGCAGCAGGGATAACTAATGTATCAAAGACCAGTGTGTTAGCGGTTGTCAGACACAACGGAGTGAACATCGTCGAGGTATGTAACCGATGATAAAAGTTGGTCCTCGACTTACGACGAGTTCGTTCCAGTCAGCCTGCCGAGGGATAGTCTCGTCCAGGATTCAGTTCCAATGGCCGCCCCAGGGCCCTTCTCCTGTGATCATGCGTCCGCAGCTAACGTGTTGGCAAGCGTCCCGTGTTTATGGCCATATGCAGCATCCCACGCGTGACCGTGTTTTGCGACCGTTTTGCTGAAGAAAAAAAAAAAGGCTTCCAGCTTTTGGTCAAACTTGTGAATCTTTGCTTTGCTTAACAACTGTGGCGTTCTCTTTATGACTGCTGCGTTCATTTTACGACCTGCGCAGAGAAGGTCAGTCACTTGGTTTTCAATCAATCAGAACTGAGCTGGAAGGGACCTTGGAGGTCTTCTAGTCCAGCCCCCTGCTCAAGCAGGAGACCCTTTACCATTCCAGACAAGTGGCTGGTCCAGCCTCTTCTTAAAAACCTCTCACAACTTCTGAAGGCAGGTTGTTCCACTGGTTAATTGTCCTCACTGTCAGGAAGTTTCTCCTTAATTCCAGGTTGCTTCTCTCCTTGGTGAGATTCCTTCCGTTGTTTCTCGTCCTGCCTTCCGGTGCTTTGGAGAAGAGGTCGATTCCCCTCCTGATTCAACATCAGACCATGTTCTGAGTATCTCTTCAGATGAAACTCATCAGACGAACGGAAGAAGCTTCTTGGATAAGAAGTGAAACGCTTCCAAAGGAAGAAAAAAAAAGACCCAAGAAAGTTGAGTTGCCTTTTGGAAAAAGCACTTCGGAGACAACCATGATGGATTAAGAAACTCCATAGACATCAGATGAAATGTAAGGAGCTACCACGGCCGAAGCCTTCTCCCCGTTCTTCTAAACCAGGACTCTCCAAACTTAACAATCAGAATAGAGCTGGAAGGGACCTTGAAGGTCATCTAGTCCAGCCCCCTGCTCAAGCAGGAGACCCTAGACCATTTCAGACAAATGGCTCTCCAGTCTCTTCTTTAAAAACCCCCAGTGATGAAGCACCCACGACTTCTGGAGGCAAAGCTGTTCCACTGGTTGATTGTCCTCACTGTCAGGAAATTCCTCCTTAGTTCCAGGTTGCTTCTCTCCTTGATGAGTTTCCATCCGTTGCTTCTTCTCCTGCCTTCTGGAAAATAAGTTGCCCCCCCCCTTTTCTTTGTGGCAGCCCCTCAACTGGGTAAGCCCACTTGAGTTACCTGATTTACGACTTACGACATTGATGGGCAGGTTCTATTACGGTCATGACTCAAGGGCTACTTATAGAATCTTCTGCTATATATCAAATCAAAATCACAACAACGATGGTCAAGAAGCTAGCCCAGGGTTAGGCAACCTTGGCTCTTTTATGACTCATGGACTTCAACTCCCAGAATTCCTGAGCCAGCCATGCTGAGGGGAAAGGGAGAGGTTTCCAAGCTGAGCCATGCTGGCTCAGGAATTCTGGGAGTTGAAGTCCACGAGTCATAAAAGAGCCAAGGTTGCCTACCTCCAATCTAGGAGGCTCACCGCTCAGAACAGGAGGACTTAGGACAGGGGTAGGCAACATTGGCTCTTTTATGACTCATGGACTTCAACTCCCAGAATTCCTGAGCCAGCATGGGAGAACAATGGCCCCCTCATGACTCGTGGACTTCAACTCCCAGAATTCCTCAGCCAGCATGGGGGAACAATGGCCCCTTCATGACTCGTGGACTTCAACTCCCAGAATTCCTGAGCCGGCATGGCTCAGCTTGGAAACCTCTCCCTTTCCCCTCAGCATGGCTGGCTCAGGAATTCTGGGAGTTGAAGTCCTGCACTGAGAAATGTTCAAACCGAGGTTTGGCGACATCTCAAAAGACAAAATGCCACTCGGAAAGGTAACAGGACAAATATTGGATTATCTGAGTTTTAATGATCGTAGCCTGGGCCTACGCTCTCTCCGAGGCTGCGAGAGCTGCGCTGACGTTCGCCAGGGATCCGCAGAAATCATTGTTAAAAAAAACAACAAGAACATTACGCCAAGGAAGGAGAAGCAGAATCCAATTGTGTTTCAGGCAGGCCTGCTGTCTTCTGCACAAATTATAATAAATTGTGGGGCCCAGGCGACAAGCAAAAGGCCGCATGAAGATTAAACAGAACAAGTTGGTCTCTGTCTGGCCCTAATAAGTCATCTGCCCGGGATATCCAGTTCCAGGCGCAACTTTGGTGGGGTAGTTTATTATTATTATTTTTTTTAATACATCACTGCTGGCCAGTCAGAAAACAAAAATGAAATCTTCGTTAGGTCGCTCACACACACACACACACACAAT